GAATCTAAACTCAGGTCCCCACACCTGAAGGACAGGAACTTAGCAGGTAAGCCAGCTTCAGGCTTAGAGTGTGTTTGTCCAAGTTTACACAGCAATGCTTTCAGAGGGCTATTCACTGTGAGAGGGTTGAGTAATGCAGCATTTATAGCTGCAGAAATAGCACATTTGTCAAGATTCTGTTAGCAAAGCTTTACAACACTCTCATGCTCTCTGAATCTTTGGAAGCAGATGTTATAAAAGCTATCATAAGAGGTTCCTGCCTCCTACAAGTCTGTACACCTCTGTACCCCAACTCTTGCCTCTCAGCTTACACAGAGGCTGTTAGCTGTAAGAAGCCAAGCAAACTTCCTTTTATTACCACATGTTTAAATCAGTATACTGTCTACGAGAATTACCAGGATACCAGACTGCCTTCTCGTAGTTGGCATTCACGGGAAAAGAAAACGTGACTCTGTAGGTCAAATGGAGAACCGCCTCCAAATTTACCAGGTGATCACTTCACATGTTGTCTACTACCTGTAACAAAATGGACTCCCTCAGCGCAACACAAGCCTCACTTGTTGTGACTTGAAGGAAAATGGCCCCCACAGGGAGTGGCACTATTAGGAGGTGTGACATTAGCAGGCGTGATCTTACTGAAGGAAGTGCATCACTGTGGAGGTGGGCTTCAAGGTCTCATATATGCTTAAGCCATACCCAGTGGGATGGACCACTTCCTCTTGCCTATGAGTCAGAATGCAAGGTCTCTCAGCTCCAACTGTAGTCCATGTCTGCCTGCATGCTGCCTTGCTTTCTGCCATCATGATAATGGACTAACTCTGAACTGTAAGCAAGAGACCACAATTAAATGTTATCCTTTATAAGGGTTGCCATAGTCTCTATAGCAATAGAAACCCTAACTAAGATAAAACCATTACAAAACAAATAAAAAACTACAACTAGTAAAATATAGAGAACAATTGACCATGGGGTGTCCATCCCCAGCCATACACCTACAATACAGCTCCTGCACCCAAGGCTCATGGAACATCTCAGGAGAGGAGACAGGAAGATTTCCAGAACCAGGGACCCAGGAAATCTGCTTTGGGGTTGTGCCTTCTAGCTATGCTAGGGGAGTTATACCCATGAAATCATAACACAGCTACCCAAACAAGACCTAGACAATTCTATCAACAGCTGAAATCTTGTCACAAATGGGGGAACTCTCATGAGGCCCACACCTAGATGAAGAGCATAGCAATTATAACTACTGAGAGAGGAAGAACTGGTCTTCCCCAGGGATGAATGCCCTGGTTGGTTACCAACACTGAGTGGTCAGCCCTAGAAACATACATTGGCAGAACTGAATGGACTCAACAAGTAGTTCTTCTGTGACTGTTCCCTCCTATGTATGTGTAACAACAGTTGTTAAAGAAGATTCCATGAATGGGGTTGGGGTCAGGCATGGGAGACATGGAAAAGAGGAGAAGAATGAAACGATGCAATATTTTTAGTTAAATTATCTAAATTCTTCAAAAACAGAATCTTGACTAATCTCAAGTAATTTAGATGAAAATGAAGAAAGTCAACAACAAAAGTATGTGCGCTACATAACTCCACCAATATAGCACTTATGAAACAGCATAATTGTAGAGATGCAGAACAGGTTGGGGGTTGCTGAGGGCCACATAGGAATGGAAACAAGGGAAGGGAGACGTATAGGGAGTAAGCTAGGTAAGGAGTCTTGTGGTGGCGACACAGCTAAGTCTCCTGGCTGCGCAGAGCTGTAACTAGATGAGTGTGTGAATGGACAGCTGTGGCCTTCAACCATTAAAGGCGCTGAACCCAGGCAGAGTTCCTGGACTGAAGACGGCACACCCTCCAGGACACTTGATGGACACGCAGACTGCTGGGTCAACCCAATCCTACTGAGGGGAATGTACACACGAGTGAGGGAAATCTTACTGACAGAAGTTTTCTAGAATCCTACATCTTAGAGATGCAGTATACGACTTCAGCATATTTCAAAATGTGACCCCAAAGATGAACATTTTCTGTACCTTAGCATCGCCTAGAAACTTGAGAGAAATGCAAATTCTCATTCCTAGACACCAAGTAAGAGACCAACACCAGGTTCAACAATCTTGAGCTCAACAAATCCCCTCAACTGTGCAGCTACTGTTCCCACGGACAGTCCATCAGCACTTGGGACGCTGAGACTTCATTTAGTACTTTACATCAGCCCTCCAGAAGAGACAACAGCAAAGCGTAGTCCTGGCTCCTCATCAGGGCCCTCTTCTCCAAGCTGGTTGTGACTCACATTCCTGTGCTCTGCCACAACCAAGCTTTCAATAGTGGAGAACACAGAAACCCTTCAAAGCCCAGTGTCCCAGGTCACTGAGTCACACAAGATATAATATAAAAGTTGTAATTTCCCATAAACTCTAAAGGGATGTATGTTCCCATTAGGCCTGGGCTAATGAGCGCTCTAAATGAAAGGAAGTGTGATTATTTCCAGAGCTACCTCAAGCCTTCATCCTCTGCCCAGAAGTGATGCTGAGATGAGGGAAATTCATTTAAGTCAGTAGTGCCTGAAGCACTTCACAAAGCAGGTCCCAGATGTAAAGCCCACTAAGTATAAATAATCATGCTAATAACATCTCATTCATCTTGTCTTTATCTCTGGGCCTGGGAGGATCAAGCTTGATAGACACAGCTTCAAAGGTGTCTCCCATCCTGGATCTGGGAACGAGTGTGTTCCAACAAGTCTCTCCAACCTCCGTCCCCGCATTCCCAGCAGTTAGAGATTCCAGCTCATCCGAAGTGGTATTTGGGCCCTTCAGTCTATGATTGCCTTTAATAAGCTGAGCGGCACAAACTCCAACAGCACCACCGGCGAAGACACCCGCTTTCAAGAGCCACATGTCGCTTTGTCTCCCTCCATCCCCAGAAGCGCTTAGAATACTTTCATGAAGTAAAGCAAATCTGTTACTTGTCGAGACAGCTTTAAAACTAAGGGAGGCTGTGGACAGCATGGCAGCGTGAGGCTGGCAGTGAGCAAGACTGCTAAGGCAGAGACTGCCGTTACTCTGGGGAACCGGCAAGGCTTCCTTGTCAGTGGGGAGAATCTGCAACTTGGAGGGTAGATTCCCTGAGGCTTGCACTGACTCCGGAGCTGCCGACCAGAGACTACATAGCTGCAAAATAAGTTTTAACTTAGACTAGTAGCAAAGTAGACGCTGTGTTAGGTAGTGTACAAGTGGGCCACAGGTAGAAGTCTGGGCAGTGCCAATCAGCCTGGTGGATTTGGTCCAGCTGCTAGACACAGACTCCAGGATAGGACTCCTGGCCTCAGAGCAGAGCAGGAAGAGCTAGACAGGCCCCTGCTCAGAGTTGGTGGAGGAAGTGGGACACAAACCCCTGGATGAACCACAACCCACCGTGGAGAAGGCAGGCCACGCCCAGGTTCTCTTCCACCCAAACCTCTATCAACTGGGGGAATCCCACTCAAGAACATTCAGCTTGGAGAATCCTTTGGCCCCTCTCAGTCCAGACAAACCAGGAGAGACTTCATGAAAATTTCTAGGAAGAAGAGGCCAAACAAATGTTGGTTTAAGGACACCTTGATTCCATAGGTTGTTCTCAAGCTTGGAGTAGGTAATCAAGAGCTATCTGGATAAAAGGCAACATGAAGAGAGGTAAGGCATGGAGTGGCATCCACATCATCAAATACTGCAGTTTGTCCAACCCCATCCTTTTACATCTGCATGTCCCAACCGGCTGCACACTCCAATCATCTCCATCAGTGATTCTCAATCTTCCTAATGTTGTGATCCTCTAATACAGTTCTTCATGTTGTGCTGACCCCAACCATAAAATTATTTTCATTGCTACTTCATGACTATAACTTTGCTTTTGTTATGAACTGTGATGTAAATATCTGTGTTTTCTGACATGCTCACAGGTCATGAACAACCCCTGTGAAAGGGTCGTTCAAGACCCCCCACCACCAGGACTTGAGAACTGCTGACCTAGACAGCTTTAAAATTTTCAGTTCCCGGCCTCCCTGAACACAATCACAGCAGAATCTCTAGGAATGCCCACACATTGCTGATCTTCAAAGCTTCACAGTGACTTTGGTATCTGTCCTTGAATGGAACCATGGCTGCTTTAATCCTTCATGGGTAAAACGCAAACCAGTGGCAGCAGGCACCCCGACCCTGGATAGGAATTCAGAATCCCTGGCCAGCCTGGCCCCTCAGAGGAGACTCCATATGTGCACAAGCTTCCTTCCGTGAGGTGAGTTTGAGAGGTGCAGGTTTTGGTTAGCGGGTGTTTTGGCTTTGTTTGTTTTCTTCAGACAGGATCTCATGCAGCCCTAGCTGTCCTGAAACTCAATATGTAGCTAAGGATGACCTTGAATTTCTCTTCTCTCAGTTTTCCCACCGGTGAGGTTACAGGCTTGTGTGACTATGCCCAACTAAGAAGCACAGTTGAGATCAGTGCATCGTATCTGTGGACTCCTGTGGGGAGCTTTAAAAATATTGGTGTCTGAGGCCTGGTCTAAAATAATGCTTTGTGCCCAGAACCAACATGGGGGACCCAGAACTGTGGAGAAGGCCCTCCCCGCTCCCCACCCCCCTCCTGCCCCCCTCCTGCCCCCCCCCCGTGCAGGTGACTGTGGTGAGGCCAAGGCACACACCGATAGACCAGTCTTGCAATGTCCAACTCACCATCCCAGTAGAGAGATGTGGGAGGAATAGGTCTGATTACCAAGATGCCAGTCCCTCACCCGAGAGAAGCAGAAGGGGGTGACCAGCAGATGCCTGAAGATGTAAAGTCGGTGAGAGTGAGACATACTTTCATAGTCACCCTCCAAACCCCTTGATAGTTCACTATGACCATGGGAGCTGAGCCTTTTAACAAGCTCCCAGGAGACCCGCTGTGGCTGATGTGGTGGTGGCTACAGCTGCTGCTACAGGTCTGGGGTTGTTCAGAGACTCACCAGTCTGATAATGAACGAATTTTAAGAGAGGCTTTATTAGTTTCTGGCCAGGACCACACCCGAGACTCGGGATTCTCAAAGTGTGTTCCCAGCTATTGTTAGTCTGGGGTTTATAAAGGCAAAAACCACAAGGTTACAGTTCTGGGGTCTAGTTAGCACTCATCCTGCCTACGTGCAGGCAGAGCTTAACTTTTGTACCAGATGTCTTGCAGATGCCTCAGTTAGCTTAAGCAAGCAAGCATTTCCAGACAGAAGCAGAACCGGCAGTTAGCCTTGTGACCCATTATCTTGTAAGAACACTAGAGACTGTTAAACACTTTCACAAGACTAGGCTACAATTTACCAGAAGCTTACAAGTTAGAGCAATTACACAGCAATTTCTGAATTTTAAACACAATGTTAATCATCACATTCTCCCTTTGAGGTATGTCCTGGGTCAAATCCTTGACTCTGTGGTGGGTGCCTGTTCATACTGGGATCTAATAGCCATTAGTATAGTAGTACCCAAGTGTGAACTTATGTATCTGGTGAAGGCATTGATGTTGTAGGGGTCAGCTGTGATCGGCAGGAGCAGGAGGCCTGAGGGCCCGCCCAGTGACCATTGACAGCAGAGTTGCTGGCCAGGAGAAACCAGAAAAATTAGAATGGGAACCATTTGTCTCCCCCATTTAGGTCCTTCCCCTTTCTGTGAGGTGTTTCTGGAACACAGCCAAATTATCTCTAATGATTCCCAAATGGTTTGCATAGCAACAATTCTCCTCTATAGCCGCACAGTAACCTTCTTGCTCTGCATAGAGCAAGTCCCATGCTATAGAACCACCTCAGCTAATGACCCCACCTGTTTTTCTAGCTTGGCAGTAGATTTTTTTTCTAATATGGATAGATCTTGGGTTATTTGACATCCCATGTTTTTAAATTAATGTCAGTCATTGCTGTTCCTGTCGCACCAGGGGCAGCATCTGCCATAGCTGAACCTAACCTTATGGAGAGGTATGAGGAGGTGGGGTGCACATTGTTAGTTTTTGTGTGTTTGTTTCCTGCCCTGGGGGACTGGAAGAGTCTGAAAATATAAGTGCTGTCTTCCTGCTGGACCATCCTAAATATACATTCAGAGGAACAGAGATACCAAGATACAGAATTTTGGGGTTTGACGCATTTACCAGATAAGCAAGCATGCATGGATGTACTCCATGAGTGCAGGCAGGCCAAACAGTTTCAGCCAGGTGGTGAAGGAAGGAATGAGCACCTGACAGTGTGGTTGCCAAAAGCTGAGAAATATTTACGGTTAATCTCTGTTTATTCATAAAGGGGGATTTGGACATATTACAGCTCTTTGAGTAAAAACGGGTCCCCTTACTTTGAATTTGGTCTGGGTTAAGATATTTGATGATCTGGGCTGGAGAGATGGCTCAGTGGTTAAGAGCAATGGCTGTTCTTCCAGAGGTCTTGAGTTCAATTCCCAGCAACCACATGGTGGCTCACACAACCATCTATAGTGGGATCTTAAGCCTTCTTCTGGCATAAAGTTGTACATGCAGATAGTGTGCGCGCACACAGACACACACACATACTTAAAAAAAATTGATGGTCAAGTGGCAAGACCCCCATGGACAGTTGGCAAAGGGAGTGACCAAAAATGAGGTTCTGATATATAGCAAGTCCTACATAGTGAGGGGGGGTTGTTGAAGGATATAGAAGCAACAATACGATATAGCATTTGGGTTAGTAACATTCATGAGCAAGTATATGGTATTAACATGGTCATTAGGGATTCAAAGGAGGCCAGAGGAGTATGGTTAGTGGGAGGAGGGGGTGGTGGTAGAAAGTGATGTCAGCTGGTGAGCCCCATCAGCAGGGCCAGAGCAAGTATAGTAGCTGGTTTGGTTATAGCATTCAAATAAAGGAATTTTAAGGAGTGAACTTGGCTAAAGCTCTAAAGATGAGTATCTTAGTCTTCCCGTCAAAGGCTGTGTCCCTCTCATTATGTCTATAGACATAACCCACGACCCCTGTTCTCCATCTATCATTCCAGGGGTCAGGGATTGAGTAGGTGACCTTAGTATGCCAATCAACCGAGTTGAGTCTGGATGGATTTTCTCCTCCCCATCTGGGCCAAGTGCTATGATATTTGCAGCCCCAGTGCGGACATCCTCCATAGTTTGGGTCCCGACAGTCTGAGCGAGTTTGTTCATATACAAAACAGACATATATAGGAGAGGACATAGCATTATAAAAGTCATTTATACATTTCCCTTGGCAGGTGTCCCTTATATCAAAAGTGAGGCTTATAGTATTCGCACATCCTGTGATGGGACAGAAGGTAGAGGCTATGGTCTTGTTGAGATTTTCCAAGGCAATTACATGGAATTTCCATGCCCTAGGGGTTGGTTTGGTTGGTACAGGAGCCCTGGGAGGTGGGTGTTTCCAATTTGGGTTCCAGGAGAGAACAGAAGGGAATATAACCAAGCAAAACAGCATCATTAAATTAAAGCCCATGTCACTCTTATCTTTAGTGGATCTTCACAGGTCTTGATGACAGTCCACTTTCTTTAGTTAGGTCGTCGTTCCCAGTGGCACACTGGACCTGAGGGTGATGTTTCCAGGTATGGATGCCTTGACAGCAGCGGAGGTGATCAGGATGAGGAGGTACAGTTGCTTCCAGCAGGGTCTCTGGCTAGAAGGGGTGTGGATGAGCTGGTGACTTTGGAAAGCAGCCTTAAGCAAGGAGGCCACAGTGTCCTGAGCCAGCTGCAGAGCCTGTACAGATTGAAGCAGTAGGTGGTTAGTAATTTTGGTGGCTGGTTCCATGTCAGGGGGATGGGGGAGGAGTCTCCCAAAGAGAATTTCAGAGTTAAACCTTTTACACAAGAGCACATTGAGCCTTAAAAAGGCAAAGGGAAGCAGCCTCGACCATATTTCTTCAGTCTCCAAAGTTAAGTCAAGATCTGATTTATCCTCTCTAGTTGTCCTGAAACTTACAGATGGTACACACAATGTAATTTCTAATTGATCCTAGAACAGGTCTCAGTAACCATAAATATAAAGGCAGTCCATTATCTGACCCTACAAACAGCAGCAGTTCAAACCTAGGTATTATCTAATCCTTTCCAAAATGTATTTCTGCCCTTAGTTTGTGGAGCAGGTCACATCCCAACAGAGGGTACAGACACTCAGGCATGCCTAGGAAAGAGTGGGTCAGAGTTCCCTTTCCCAGGCCCATGGTTCTTTGGTGGTCCACGAACAGATTTCTAAACCAATAGCTCCTTGTATCACAATCTGTTTCTTACTTATTGGTCCACTTGCCTGCTTTAAAACCAAGTAGTGGCTCCCATATTCACAAGGAAATTGATTGGAATCCCCCCAACCCCCCTGGGCTGTGGGGGAGGGGTGGCCAAGCCCTGTCAGTCTGTATCTAGCTGGAGCCTAAATGCTTTCAGTTTCTCCAGTGCTTGGTTTCTTTACAGGAATAGCATCCATTCCTTCTGGGCACTGTCTTTCCAACGTAAGTTTCTCTTTCCTTAAGGGAACCTCTCTCAGCACCCACTTCCCTTGGCTTTTGTCCTTCTTTCATAAATCTTGGATGCCAAAGCCCTCTTCCCCAGTGAGCTGCCACCATAATCTTAGCTAATTTCTCAGTTCGCCTGTCCTCGAGGGTCCCTAAGGCTATATTCCCTGAGGCGATCTCAACCAGCTCTGACAGTACCTCTCCTTCAAAGCCTTCTATTTTCTGACTCTTTCTCCTAATGTCTGGTGCTGATCGACTGAGAAGCAAAAGCTATATTAATGACCCTCTGGTTTTCTGGGGCCTCCTGGTCAATTGATAAACTTCTAGGAGGCACTCCAGAGAAGCAGATGGCAAATCACCTGAACCCTGAGTTATCTTATCTACCTTGGACAAATTTGTGGGACAGTCCAGAGACCACCCCCCAGTGGAGTCTGGTGGAAGAGGTGAAGAGACTCCCTGTCTTTGTGGGAATTCAGATCCCAATCTGGGTGTCGGGAAGGAAAAGCTTGACCCGTTGTCACCAGATCAGTAATCGGGTCTCCCATCCACCATTTCCCAAGACCTGCTTTTGACCTTTTCATCGCATCAGAATCCCTCTTCTCTGTGGGGAAGAGGGTTTGAAGTAGCCACTGACAGTCTGCCCAAGTCGGTCAGTGTGTGTGGAACACCATTTCTAGAGGAGAGATTAAGTTTTGGGTTTGCCCCCCCCCCCCGAGGAAAAAAGAGATTCCGATTATACAGATCACTAGTAGAGAAGAGAACACAAACTGCCACAGACTGATGGTCCCTCCCGCCTCCCTCCTGCATGGTTCCCATGTCGGGGTTTCTCTGAAGGGCAGGGTAGCTAGCGGTGGAGATGGGGGCATGTATCAGACTGATGGTCCCTCCCACTTTCCCACCTGCATGGTTCCCCATGTCGGGGTTTCTCTGAAGGGCAGGATAGCTAGCGGTGGAGATGGGGGCATGTATCAGACTGATGGTCCCTCCTGCCTCCCCCATCCTGCATGGTTCCCCATGTCGGGGTCTCTCTGAAGGGCAGGATAGCTAGAGATGGAGATGGGGGCATGTATCAGGGAGCCACACAAGTGAAATGTCCTGCAGCGGGCAACCTCGGGGCTACAGGATGTATCCTGAGAGGGAAGCAGATGGGGACTCTATCACAACCTCAGTGAGAGCAGGCAGAAAGTCAGAGGGGGACTGGAGGTCAAAGTCAGAGACAGTGAGTGATAGGGAGATGGATGGGTAAGAGGACCCACTCCAGGTGTGAGCAGGACTCGGGAAGGCCTCTGACCACAGATTCCCCTCCTGGGCTAATGCCCCAGGCACATAGGGCGGGTGAACATCTTCTTCTGTTGCGGCTGGTAGGACTGGAGGCTGAATTTGTCCTGTCCCTTGGTCTTATTGATTTCATCTGAAACAAAAATTGTGGTATTAGGGGAAGGATTTGGCTGGTACTTTCTCGTCCAGGATGGAGATTCCTCTACCAGGAACTTCCAGGCCTGGTAGGAGAGCTGGGTTTACTAAAGACCACATGTTGCACTCTGTAAATAAGAAAAAATTTGAAGGAGCCTTCACCTAGTCAGCCCATCTGAAATGAAGGCCAATCAAGGGAACAAAAGGCGGTTAGTTTTTCTTTATCAACCTGTTCTCTGGACCCCTTGGCTTTTCTCCAGAAGTTTTTAAAATGAGACTTCATCGGATCTAAGGGAACTTTCTGGGTAGAAGATGTTTTTGCCCCATCTTTTCAATTTCTTCAAGAATGAGAAATGACACAAAAAACAACACATACAACACAAAGCAGACATACAGTGTTCTCCAACTTGGTGGCCAACCCTTGCTTCCGGGAAGTCTTCTCCTACCTCTAGAACCAAACATCCAGGGCCAGTGGGGTTCCAGTGGTACTTGCAGCTTGGGAATTAACGCTGTGGACCAGTTTTCCCATGAGTCTCACAGACAGATACATGCTACAAACAATTTACCTCTGGGAGGACTTCAGATGCTTCTTCTCCACAATCCAGGTGCTGAGAACCTGTCAGTGGCCCCCTCTAAATGCTGGGCTTATTTCTCAGCTCCCAGTACAATAGAGACCCTCAAATTCCCAAGGCTCCTCGGCGAGATCTAGGCGTTGAGGACTGTAGACTCCCTCCAAATGCTGAGCCTATGCAAACTCTTGGTGCCCAATACAGCAGAAGCCCCAGGGTGCAAGGTTGGTCAAAAAAGAATGAACCAGGCTAAACACCCGGAGCTCGGTGGGACCTCCAGATGCTATGGGTCTGGGGTCATTCAGAGACTCACCAGTCTGATAATGAATGAATTTTAAGAGAGACTTTATTAGTTTCTGGCCAGGACCACACCCGAGACTCGGGATTCTCAAAGTGTATCCCTAGCTATTGTTAGTCTGGAGTTTATAAAGGCAAAAACCACAAGGTTACAGTTCTGGGGTCAAGTTAGCACTCATCCTGCCTACGTGCAGGCAGAGCTTAACTTTTGTACCAGATGTCTTGCAGATGCCTCAGTTAGCTTGAGCAAGCCAGCATTTCCAGACAGAAGCAGAACCAGCAGTTAGCCTTGTGATCCATTATCTTGTATGAACACTAGAGGCTGTTAAATATTCTCACAAGACTAGGCAGTTTTAAGACTAGCCCAAGTGTTCCAAGAAGCCATCCATGTTGGGCAAGTTAGCTGACAGGCTACAATTTGCAAAAAGCTTACAAGCTAAGCACAGCAGTTTCTTAATTTTAAACATAATGCTGACCGTTATGCTGCCAGCACCTCACATAGTATAGTGAGGTCTGTTAAAGGTGACAGCCCCATGACCCATCCCTCTAAGTTACTGCTGGAAATAGCAGGATCTGCTGCTCTGATAGAGAGGACTGTGAGATTAGTGTGTGGTACCTGTGTCTTGTGGCCATGAGACTAACAATGGCTAAAAAACCACATCCCACACTCCGTCCCTGTGTGCTGGAGAAATGACTTACTACAAAGAACTCTGTTCCTGTGAGTTGGGTATGATTCCAGTTGTCCTCTTAGCATCTAGACAAGGCCAAAAGGACTGCCAAGTTCCCATCGTTAGCCTCATAAATGATTTAGTAACCTAGGCATGGTGCCTCACACCTGGAATCCCTGTGCTCCAGAGTCTGAGGCAGGAGGATTATGAATTCAAGTTTTGCCTGAGCTAGATAGCAGACCATCTAAAAGAAAAAGAGTCAAAATAAATGTTTTTTGGGGGAGCTTTATCTCTTCTGATCATTCAGCACACAACTCTTGTTCACCAAGCTTCATTTAAGATTCTCGCCTTCCCAGCAGGTCTCTGAAATTTGGTCTACATTCAACAGGAGAAGCACACCTCTTAATGAAAGGGCACCCTAAGATGCAGCATCCTCAGACACTGACAGTTCATACCGATGAGAACAGGAGGTAGGAACTGGTTAGGAAGCTTTGGGGGCAACGACTCAGAACATGAACAATCCTAACTCTTGTAATGTCCTTGGTCCTTGGCCTTGTCCTGGCTGGAGGCCAGGCAAGTCAGAGGAAGGCTCACATTCCTTACTGGCTTATCCTAAGTGAACTAGTCTGCATGGAACCTCTACACAAAGTGTGACCCAAACTCCAGTTCAGACACTAAGACCATCTGGACAGCTTTGGAACTTGTCCTTTACGTTTTCATGATGGGAATGTTACAGTAGTCTTAGAGGTCATTAAAGATATCAGGACTCTGTAGAGGGCCATTAGAGCAAAGTTATTTGTTCCCTGTAAAAAAAAATGTGATCTATCTCTGGATCTGGGTGGAGACTTGACATTCTGACCTGCTCCAAAGATTAGAACATAACATAAATTGTCTTCTCCCTGAAGAGTTAACCCATCTGGGCTTGTCAGTCACCTTGCTAAGAGACCAACCCTCAGAAAGTGATTACTTGAAAACCATGTTAAAATGGTATCTTAGAGTTATTTTGATTTATATTTTCCTGATGATTAAGAATGTTGAGCACTTCCTTAAATGTATATTGGCCATTTGAGATTCTTCTGGTGAGAATTCTCTGTTTAGCTCTGTGCCTCAGTTTCTAATTGGGCTATTTTGTATTTTGATGGGTAGTTTCTTGAGTTCTTTATAAATTTTGGAGATCAGCCCTCTGTCAGATGTGGGATTGGTGAAGATCTTATCCTGTTCTGTAGGCTGTCCTATGTAGGAGACAGTTGTGAAGCTTGGACTAGCTGAGAGGCCCCTGGCAGTAGGACCACGATACAAACCTGGTACATGAGCTACTTCATTCCTTAGCGTGGGATGCCATGCTCAGTGACAGTAGGACCACGACAGTATAACAT